CTGATGCTTTTAAAAAATTTATTTGGTGTGTGTTGGAAAAGGGGTAGTCTTACATGCCAAGTATATCCCAAACTCTGTATTTTAACTGGAAAAATTGGGGGTCGTCTTATACACTCAGTCGTCTTATATGCCGGATATACGGTAGGTTCTTTATTACAATAAACTCCCTAACGCTCACGGAGTTTCCTAGTCAGGTTTTCTGGACAGATGTTACCGCCTCTGACAGCCACAATCAAAACACTCACCTTGCTGCTAATCACTTTAAAAAGCATCAATATTTTATACACAATTAAGACTTCTCTTGCAATATAATTTTTAAAAAAGATCAACAGCTTTTTCGGAATCCAGCGGCACCCCAAGATCTTGCATTGGGGTCTTCCAGTGTGTTTGGCTAGCCAACATTTAATACACTTGATTTGTCAGATTTCTTAGGGGAAAACATTATCTAAACACAGACTAATGGAAATCAAGTGGGGATTATATGAAGTCCTGCACGTTCCAAATTAGAATGGCTTCTCTAAGTGACAGCTGTATGAAATATTAATATGGAGTGACGTCACTTGGCAGTTTGAGTGCTGGACTTAACTTTTTTTGCTGTTTCTAACTAAAAGCCTGAGATTCTACAAGAATGGTGTGAATGTTATTCCTTGACAGCGTTGGCTGCTGGAAATGCGAGGGGAAGTACAAAAATCACAACGAACACAAATCCACTACAAGTCGTAGTACATAAATCACAAAGGCAAATGTCCCCATTGGGGAGATGGTGGTGGGGTATAAAATAAAGATGATGATGATGATGATTATTCAGCTTATATAATACAATATTAAACGTATAAGCAACTTATATGATGCAGCATTGAGCAATATACAATGAACAAAAAACTGTTGTTTATACAGTGATTTTACATCAGTAAAAAAATCAATTTTTAATAAACATTTTGCTGATTTAAATCATAATGCAGAATCACTCCGGGTGCTGGTTTTAGAGGTTGTCACACACCCTTCTAATTTGGATTTGAGTACTAAATTATTACAGCGTGAATCCTTTTGGATGTTTACCCTAAAAACTGTACATCCCAATGGTCTAAATGAAACCATTTCATACCAATGTTTCCTGTAAACTATAGTGTATAGCTCTTTAACACTTTCATTACCTGCTCTGGGAGCCCCCGGTGGCGTAGTGGGTTAAACCCCTGTGCCGACAGGACTGAAGACCGACAGGTCGCAGGTTTGAATCCAGGGAGAGGTGGATGAGCTCCCTCTGTCAGCTCCAGCTCCCCAAATGGGGACATGAGAAAAGCCTCCCACAAGGATGATAAAAACATCAAATCATCCAGGTGTCCCCTGGGCAACGTCCTTGCAGACGGTCAACTCTCTCACACCAGAAGCGACTTGCAGTTTCTCAGGTCGCTCCTGACACGAAAAAAAATTACCTGCTTTACCTGGTTTGGGCCCCCCTAATTGCTTCACTTTATATACTAGTTTCTATCTGTTGGCCATGTGCTTGCTACAGAATCAAATCATTGCAGAGCACGGTTTAGGAGAACCTGATAATAATAATAATAATAATAATAATAATAATAATAATAATAATCTTTATTTATACCCCGCCACCATCTCCCCGGTGGGGACTCGGAGCGGCTTACATGGGGTCAAGCCCGGACAACATATTACAGCAATAAAATCAGAGCATAAACGACAAATAACAACATCCAAAATTACATAAGAGAAAAAAAAGCAGTCATAAAATAACATAACAATCACAATAATGATAACAATGGGCGGGCCACATATACAGGATAAAACAATTAAAAAACGAATGAGATAAAATAGGAGCAGGACATTAACGGGGAACTCATAAAACACATAGAGTTGTGAGGCTAAACTTCCAATTTGGGGGACGTGAGCTCCAGTGGCAAAAAACGTTGAAGGGTGCAAAATGTCATGATGTGCACCGATTCACCAAAGGCGCAGCGGAAGAGCCAGGTTTTAAGGTTCTTTTTTAACATCTCTAGTGAAGGGGCTTTCCTGATCTCTCCAGGTAATGAGTTCCAAAGTCGGGGAGCCACAGAGGAGAAGGCTCTCTCCCTTGTACCCACAAGATGGGCTTGTGAGATTGGTAGGGGTGAAAGGAGGACCTCCCCTGAGGATCGAAGGGCCCGGGTTGGTACATGGAGAGAGATGCCTCTTTTGCTTTGTACGCGTTACATGTTAGCAACATATGGAAATATTTATCCCTTTTGGGACATGTTCTAGCCACCTGTGTATATTCCCTTTAGATCCACTGTTTCATTGTATCCTTATCCACCGAGGAAGAATTATTATTTTGGAGAACTTGATGTCCACTTCATTGTACTCTTCACATTTATCCACCTGAGGAAGACATTAGTCGAAACCGGTCTGGAAATCCTCTACGTGGATATCCTCTTACAAGGGACTGGAAACTCCATTCAAGAGTATCTTTAGAGATAGTAAGGGATCTTATGCCCTTAAGAGAAGTCTGCTTTACAGCAAGAAAGACTCTACTTTTGTTACTGATGTAAAATCACTGATAAACAACAGTTTTTTGTTCATTGTATATTGCTCAATGCTGCATCATATACGTTGGTTATACGTTTAATATTGTATTATATAAGCTAGGGGAAAAAACATTTACCTTTGTGATTTACGTACTACGACTTGTAGTGGATTTGTGTTTGTTGTGATTTTGGGAATCCATTGTCTTTTGTGTGAAATACAAAAATACCCTTGGTGTTTGAACAAGAAGAGTTTGTGGAAGTCACTGCACCTAAAGACTGCCTATTGCAATATATTGCCTCTATCTAGCAAGAGTGAGCGCATCTTTGATAACATGAGAACTCAAAATCTGTCAAGATCTACAATGAATTTCGCTGGTTTAATCAGTCTGTTACATGCCCCCTATACTAGACAGTGGGGTTCATCCGACGTCTTTAAAGACTGGATTAACTTTTCATCACACTAGAGAAAAAAATCCACTTAAAATCCAGTTTCTGCCTCCTGCAGAATTATGGGGTTTATACAGCGGCTTATGGTACTGTACTCCTCCTGAGAAAAATGTACAACATCACAAAGGACTACCATCTCATCTGCCTCATAGGAAACCTGCTACAAAACAGGAGCTTCTTTGTTGAGTTCCAGGGCCAGAGATGTAGATGGCGGAAACAATCCATGTTCAACATCTACACAAATGACCAGCCACTGCCAGAAGGGGCAGAGTTTCATCTATGCTGATGATCGTGCCATTACTGCTCAAGCAGGGAGCTTTGAGATGGCAGAACAGAAGCTCTCTGAAGCTCTAGGTGCTCTCACTGCCTACTACAGGGAAAACCAGCTGATTCCTAATCCATCTAAAACACAGACATGTGCTTTTCATCTTAAGAACAGACAAGCATCCCGAGCTCTGAGGATTACCTGGGAAGGAATCCCACTGGAGCATTGCAGCGCACCCAAATACCTGGGAGGTACCCTGGACCATTCTCTGACCTACAAGAAGCACTGCCTGAATATCAAGCAAAAAGTGGGTGCTAGAAACAATATCATACGAAAGCTGACTGGCACAACCTGGGGATCACAACCAGACACAGTGAAGACATCTGCCCTTGCGCTATGCTACTCTGCTGCTGAGTATGCATGCCCAGTGTGGAACACACCACGCTAAAACAGTAGATGCGGCTCTTAATGAGACATGCCACATCATCACGGGGTGTCTGCGCCCTACACCACTGGAGAAATTACACTGTCTAGCTGGTATTGCACCACCTGACATCCGCCGGGAAGTAGCAGCCAATAGTGAAAGGACCAAGGCAGTGACATCTCCAGCTCATCCCTTGTTTGGGTATCAGCCTGCACGTCAACGACTTAAATCAAGAAATAGTTTTCTTAGATCTACAGAGACACTTGCTGGAACACCTCAGCAAGCGAGAGTCCAAAAGTGGCAGGCTCAAACCCAGAACCTCAATCAATGGCTGATACCAAATGAGAGACTCCCCCCTGGGCACACAGAAGACTGGGTGACTTGGAAGGCGCTGAACAGACTGCGCTCTGGCACCAAGAGATGCAGAGCCAACCTTAAGAAATGGGGCCACAAAGTGGAATCCACGACATGCGAGTGTGGAGAAGAGCAAACCAGAGACCACCTGCTGCAATGTTCTTTTTTTTTTTTTTTATCTCTTTTTTTTTTTTTTTTTTTTTTTTTTTTTTTTTTTTTTTTTTTTTTTTTTTTTTTTTTTTTTTTTTTTTTTTTTTTTTTTTTTTTTTTTTTTTTTTTTTTTTTTTTTTTTTTTTTTTTTTTTGTTTTTTTCACTTGCTGCAATGCAACCTGAGCCCTGCCACATGCACAGTGGAGGACCTTCTTGCAGCAACACCAGAGGCACTCCAAGTGGCCAGCCACTGGTCAAAGGACATTTAATCAACTACCAAGCTTGCAAAATCTATGTTTTGTCTATTTGTTTGTTTTGTTAAACATGTAATACAAATGTCTGGTTGCTCCTGACAAGATAAATAAATATGAGGTTTATAGTTTAGTGAGGCTGTTAAAGGCTCCTCCCTAAACTACAAACCCCAGAATTCTACAGAAGGCAGAAACCAGATTTTAAGTGGAATTTTTCTCTAGTGTGATGAGGCCCAGCTGCAACTTTTAGCAATCTTCGGTGAGCAAAACCAATTGCAAAGAATGTTGACAGCTGCACGTCAACAGTATCTAGAGAGGCATATGACTATTACTCAATAAACAGGAGTATCACAATGCCATCAAAAATATGCTAAGAAGCACATCTGAGTCACAAGAGAGATAAATAATCAATCTAACATAAAAAGACACAGACTGAGTGAAAAACCCTACCTGAGGGATTTCGGAACAGTGGGGGAAACCCTTGCCTCCTTAGAGATTATGGCTTTTTTTAAAAAAATCCAAAAATCTTAATTGTCTCTTTTAAAAAATGTGCATTTGTAGAAACTGTCCCAAAAAAAAAGTCCAAGTGTTTTTGTCAGTAGGGGCCTGAACTGGTAAGGGCTATAAAGTTACAAACGTTAGACTTTGGAATGTCATTTTTCTTATCCCAATACTTCCACGACGGAATGGTCTCTTTGCAGCCTACCAAAGATTTTCAGTGTATAAAGAACACAGATTTACATTTGGCTTTGCTTCCTAAAAAACCTAAAGAAAATGCGCATCACCTTTCATACAACAAGACTTCCAAAGGCATTGGCTTAAGATGACAAGGACTTTTGTGCCTCTGAAATAATTCATTATAAAAAAAATTCTCTTTCAAACCCTATAAGCTTAAAGGCTCTTCAAAAAGACCCCCCTCCCCAATATATAAATTTATATTACAATCCTAATATCACTCCTAAGGGAAAGCAGCATATAAGATGTGTATTTTTTTTTTAAAAAAAATCCCCACATTCAGTACTGTGCATATTGAGAGCAAAACTATGTTTCTCCATACAATTAAGCACTTAATATAAAAGTATTCTATTAAATGCGCAAAACAAAGAAAGCTCATTGGTATCTCTCTCGAAGGTTAAAGTATCTTGTGTCTCGTGTCCATTTTTTTACAAAATTATTTTACAGCATCCTAAAAAGGTAGAATTAAATTGCTCCGTCTCTAAGAGAGAAGCATCAACCAAATCTGCCACCCAAATCTCCCAGAACGGCTCTGAAAGGATCCGTGTTCTACGTCATCAAGGCCACAAAGTCGGAAGCACAGAAATTCTAAGGAGGGGACGAAGCATTTGTAGAGGAAAAGTGCGAAGTTTTCTGGACTGCTTAGTTCCTAAGTGTAAATTGCTACTGAACTCCATCCGATATTCCTGCCTCCAAAGATGCAGAGCACGTATGCGGAGAGTGGATGTTCGCTCCTGCTCCGTGGGACACAGAGATCTGAGACATGTCTCGTCCTATGATTTCATTCACTGGAAAAGAGAAAAGAAGAAAATAATTAATGTATTTCCCCAGTTTTCTGTTCATAGAATCATAGAGATGGAAGAGATCTTGTGGGCCATCTAAGCCAACCCCATTCTGCCAAAAGAAGGAAAATCACATTCAAAGCACCCCCAGTAGATGGCCATCCAGCCTCTGTATAAAGCTACCAAGGAAGAAACCACACTCCGGGGCAGAGAGTTCCACTGCTGAACAGCTCTCACAATTAGGAAGTTCTTCCTAATGTTCAGGTAGAATCTCCTTTCCTGTAGTTTGAAGCCATTGTTCCATTGCATCCTAGTCTCTAGGGCAACAAAAAACAAGCTTGCTCCCTCCTTCCTATGACTTCTTCTCACATCTTGATATATGGCCCTCATCATGTCTCCTCTCAGCCTTCTCTACTGCAGGCTAAACATACTCTCCACATAAGACTTGTTCTCCAGACCCTTGCTCATTTTAGTCTCCTTCCTCTGGACACATTCCAGCTTGTCAACATCTCCTTCAATTGTGGTGCCCAGAACTGGACACAGTGTGATTCCAGGTTTTGTCTGTCCAAGATAGAATAGAGGGGGAGCAGGACTTCCGTGGACCTAGACCAGGAGTCCTCAAACTAAGGCCCGGGGGTCGGATACGGCCCTCCAAGATCATTTACCCGGCCCTTGCTCAGGGTCAACCTAAGTCTGAAATGACTTGAAAGCACACAACAACAACAACAACTCACTATCTCATCAGCCAAAAGCCGGTCCACACATCCCACTGAAATACTAATGTTTATATTTGTTAAAATTGTTCTTCATTTTAATTATTGTATTGTTTTGAAGTGTTTTTGCACTGCAAATAAGATACGTGCACTGTGCATAGAAATTCATTCATTATTTTTTTTCAAATTATAATCTGGCCCTCCAACAGTTTGAGGGACTGTGACCTGGCCCTCTGTTTAAAAAGTTTGAGGACCCCTGATCTAGACACTATACTCCTATTTATGCAAAATCCCACTGGCTTTTTAAGCTGCCACATGACACTGTTTTCTTATGTTTGCCTTCCTGTCTATGAGGACTTCAAGATCATTTTCACACATACTGCTGTCGAGCCAGGCACCCCCATTCTATTTCTTTGCATTTAATTTTTTCTGCCAATGTATCTTGCATTCGTCCCTCTTGAACTTCATTTTGTTGGTTTCGAACCATCTCTCAAATTTATTAAGATCGCTTTGAATTCTGCTCTTGTATTTGGAGTATTGGCTATATCACCCAATTTGGTGTCATCTGCAAATTTGATGATCATCTGAGCTCAGTTGCTTTTATTGATACCATAGACATCCTGTGAATATTTAATGGGGATGTATTTATGAAGGAGGATTAATGGACACAAATCTGACATTAATAGTTATAACCCAAAACCTGTTGCAAAATATTTCACTTTTTCTGGACATACTGTTAGCAATTTACATAGTAGTCCTTGAACAGGGAACATTCCAATCCACTGGCAGAGCCATGGATTAAGATAATGGTTTCATGGCACATTACATAATACAAGAGTTTTTGCTATAGCGCATATATAAAAAAGCAATGTTCACAGTGTTTTGAACAAAAAAAAACCTGACATCTGTAAGCAGATTGATCACTTTGACACTTCAACACTAGCAGACTACCATAGAAAGACATGTATCATTACGTGGCCCTCTGAAAATTTAAGGCAAAGAACATGCATTTTTTTAAAATAAAACTGGTTATTTTGGTTATGGTACATAACAGAAAAGCAAATCGTGGCAGATATAATCAGGTAACAATATTTTTGATGTGTACATGCCTATTTACCTTAGTCAATCAACCAGTTAATTTTGACATTGAGCATAAATTATTAGCATTTACATAACTTAATACACATAGACTTGCTATTTCTGCCTGTTTTCCACTACTTTCAGTCAAAGCTTTCTATTCAATTTTTTCCTATAACATTCAGAAAATCAGCACATAGCATTTTACCCCTCAAACCATGTATTTTTCTGATTCCTATTCTATCCCACCGACACAACTATAAATTTGCTTTATGCATGAAGCCTTAATACCATTTGGTACTGCATCCAAAGAAGTGGGTTCATGCATTCATCAAAACCAACCAGTCTTAACGCATTTCTATTTTCTCCCTTCTCCTTTCCTTCTTTTTAAGGCGACTCAAACGTGGATCTAAAGCACATCTGATTTTTTAAACCCCTAAAGCCATATTTTGAACTATACTCTGAAGCAGACTGGGGCAAAAGTGCAGCTGATTCAAAGCCAGAGAGGTGGGATCTTTAAGCTCGGCCACAGTTCACAATTAGATGTCACCCTTTTAAACTAACTGGCATTTCCTAATAGCTCACTGCAAGGAGTTATTTCAAAATGTCAATTGCATTTTGCACAAACCTCTTCTTTTAGATTAGCGTCACTGTGCAAAATAAATATACATCTGAGAAACAGCCCCTCTCTTAATAGTTGTTTTCTCTCCTCCATAGTAGCAATACCAGATGCCTTCCACCAGCAAAAAGGAGGCACACAGGACTGTGCAGGGGGATTTCTGTCTCAAAATAGAGACAGACAACACTCCAGTGGTCTAAGCTACACTTGGGCTCGGATGGATTTGTTCTGAGCTGCAGCACATATTACATTCCCTTCCGGAAAACACTTCCATATCTGTCCACTTGTCATTGACTCCAAGCACAGCAATTGTGACAACAGCTCAGAGAAAGAGATGCCTTCAGGAGAACCTCAACAGAATGATGGACCTAAGGGTTTTAAGGTTGTCAGAACACGTTTCTCTTTTCAGTCTCTTATACATGGCCTTCTCTACACTATTTTGAGTTTTAAAAAACCAAACCAAGAACTACAGCAATAGAAACTGCAACCTCCTGGCATGTTTGCTCCAACCTAAAGAAATACTAACAATAATGTTGTTTAAAAAATCAACCCCCACCCTCTCCAAAACTCAAGGACACTGCCCACCAAACCCTTCCAGTATTTTCTGTTGGTCATGGGAGAACTGTGTGCCAATTCTGGTTCAATTCCATCGTTGGTGGGGTTCAGAATGTTCTTTGATTGTAAGTGAACTATAAATCCCAGCAACTACAACTCCCAAATAACAAAAATCAATTTTTTGAGTGAAGGACATACATTGGGTTGTTAGGTGTCTTGCGTCCAAATTTGGTGTCAATTCATCCAATGGTTTTTTAGTTTTGTTAATCCCACAAACGAACATTACATTACGTTTATTTATTTATTTATTTATAAAAACAATGCCAAAGAGTTAGAGTTTGGCATTGTTATATATGTGTGTTTGTGTGTGTAAAGCACACTGTGACAATTCATCTAATAAAGACTGCACTAACAGCAGGAGTACTAGTTGGGGGGGGGGCACTGTTAAAAGCCCCTTATATTTTTGAAGTTCTTGTTCTGGATATAAAAGCAATTCTCAATTTCATAAGCTCCTAAACTGTATGCATTTGTGCTTGCCATCCCAAATAGCAAAGGGAGAAAAGCAACGCTACATATGTAGCTTGAGACCTTGGAACTGCAGGCTCTTTCATTACCTGCTGACTATTTAGAAATTATTTTGAGGCAGTTATAGTTGCAAGCTAAACAGGTGGCAACTGTCATTTGATAAAGTTGCTGGAACGCTCTCCTTTCTCTTTTGAACTTTGAACTAGAAGTCTACAGAAACTTGCCTTCAAACTACAGAAACATGACTACATTATAATATAGCCAATGTGCACAATTTTACATAGGATAAGAATTTCTTAGGATTTTTTGTTATATACTCTACTATTGCATGTTTTATTGTGAACCACTTTGGGTATGGGAAAGGCATGCATATCTCTTAGCATAAACGACCTATTTGATAGAGTAATTGTCAGACTATCAATGTATGCAATAATAACAACAAAAAATGAAAAAGTTCCTTCACCAGAATAACAACCAAATCTACTGACTATAAATATATTCTCTAACTAGCCGTCCCCTGCCATGCATTGCTGTGGCCCATCTGTGTGGGAGGTTTGGCCCAATTCTATCGTTGGTGGGGTTCAGAATGCTCTGATTGTAGGTGAACTATAAATCCCAGCTACCACAACCCCCAAATGTCAAGATTCTATTTCCCCCAAACTCCACCAGTGTTCACATTTGGGCATATTGAGTATTCGTGCCAAGTTTGGTCCAGATGTATCATTGTTTGAGTCCACAGTGCTCTCTGGTTGTAGGTGAACTACAACTCCCAAACTCGAGTTCAATGCCCACCAGATCCTTCCAGTATTTTCAATTAGTCATGGGAGTTCCGTTTGCCAAGTTTGGTTCAATTCCATCATTGGTGGGGTTCAGAATGCTCTTTGATTGTAGGTGAACTATCAATCCCAGCAACTACAACTCCCAAATGACAAAATCATTTTTTTTAATTGAAGAACATACATTGGGTTGTTAAGTGTATGCTGTCCAAATTTGGTGTCAATTCGTCCAGTGGTTTTTGAGTTCTGTTAATCCAACAAACGAACATTACATTTTTATTTATATAGATTACTAGCCGTCCCCTACCACGCGTTGCTGTGGCCCACATGGGGGTTCTGTGTGGGAGGTTTGGCCCAATTCCATCGTTGGTGGAGTTCAGAATGCTCTGTGATTGTAGGTGAACTATAAATCCCAGTAATTACAACTCCCAAATGTCAAGGTCTATTTTCCCCAAACTCCATCTGTGTTCATATTTGGGCATGTGGAATATTCATGTCAAGTTTGGTCCAGATCTTTCACTATTTGATTCCACAGTGCTCTCTGGATGTAGGTAAACAACAACTCCCAAACTCACAGCAAAGTCTGCTGATTTGGAACAAACAGCAGGACTTCAGCACAATTAATTTTACATATTTTCTTACATGAAAATTAGCTGCAACGAATAGATGCTAGCTGGAATTATTTGCAATTCATCTAAATAAAAGAACATTTGTTTCTACTGATTTATTAAAAAAACAGAT